GCTTGTACCTTGACCCTTTCATACCTAGATCTCTTCTTTGGACACTTATGGCTTAAAGGAGGCATTTTGGGTTTGAGCTTGTCACAAGAACAAGCCTTCAGATCTGGACTTCTCCAGGCCCCAAGTGCATAAAGCTCTCAGCTTTAATTCATATGGACATCTTATCTTATCATAAATCTCATTCTAGACTTGGTATTGGTGGTTCTAAACCATTAAGACCTTGCATGCACGTAAAGTTTACAACTTTACGTGGAATTTGTGCCTTAGGAAGCTAGATCTACAATTTGGAGCTTTGGGGTGGCTTAAAATCGTCTGAATGGGTATTGGATTGAAGGGACTCAAGGAGTTGCATGGTCAACTCGACGAGTCGGATGAAGATTGCATGAGGATGGTTTCTACATGGCCTCGTCGAGTTAGTGAGACGACTCGACGAGTCAGATGGGGTTTTCCCGAATTTTGGACATGCTTGAACTCGACGAGTTTCCTGGAAACTCGGCGAGTCGACTAGGGTTTTATGACTCTGTAAGTTTTGGAGGAATTCGGCGAGTCAGTATATTGCAATCGACGAGTCGGGTCAACATGGATTGTTGACCTTGACCTTTGACTCTGACTTGGACCAAGGGTTGACCAGTTTGACCTCTGGGGGTATTTTTGTAATTTGGGAATTTATTGAAGGGAGTCATCGGTGGATGTAGGTGTTGGTTTTGGAGCTGCATTTGGTGGAGTTGACTTTATCGATTCGAGCTACTTGTGAGGTGAGTTCTCCTCACTATATCAACAGGGTCTAAGGCATATATGTCGACCACCCTTATCAGATTTGTATCCTGGTCTATTGCATGATATGCTTATTGATTTACATCTTGCTAGTTAGGATGGTGATATGCTTAGTGACCTGGTTAGGTCGGTATCCTGGTATATAGGATGATGCTATGTTAGTGACCGGTTAGATCTGTATCCTGGTTATAGGATGATTGCTATGATTGATGATCTGTTAGATGGGTTTGACTGTTATATATACTAGCGTATGATATTATGTGCACATGCTTATTTGATTGGGGGTTAGGTTGAGGCGGTCCTGCTTTGTGCTGAAGGCCAACATACCCAGGGCGGTCCGGATAGACTACAGGCCCAGGCGGGCATGCTAGTCAGACTGAAGGCCCATCGAGCGGTCCGGATAGGCTGTAGGCCCTGCGAGGCGGTCCAGACGTGCCGAAGGCTCGGAGAGCGATCCGGATAGGCTAATGGCCTACAAGGCGGTCCAGTCAGGATGAAGGCTCGTTATGCACGTTGTTTGTTTATATGTTATTGATATGTTTTATGGCGTTGGTATTTTGGGGGTAACTCACTAAGCCTTCAAACTTACATTTATCGATTATTGTTTCAAGTACTTTTGATGATCGCGGGAAGGCGAATGCGTGATCGTACAGCTCCTCATATCTTATGATTTTATGATTTGATTCTGGGATACTCTGATATTTTACTATTTTGAATACAAGTTTGTAATAATCATGGGTTTTGAAATGTTTTAAAAAAGTTTAAATTTGGCATGATTTTTATGAGTGTTACATCTAACATCATAGATTAGCAAGATAAGAGCTTTTTACCTCACTAGGATGGCAAATGATGAACTAATCCCAAATCCTCAAGCTCCAAGGACAACTCCAAATGGTTCACTTCTTCTTCTCCTTCAAAAAGCACCAACAATCACACTATATGGCTCAAATATCTTAAACACTCACTAGCTTTTCAATTTCTGGACAAGAGGGGATGGAGGCTGTCTAAACATGACCTAGTGAGGCTATCACAAGGTTTAAATATGGTGCAATACCCTAAAAATTAGGGTTTCATACTTTCTTACGTACGCCCAGCGTACTCCACGTACGCCCAGCGTACTCCACGTACGCCCAGCGTATGTGGATGAGCTTCACGACCATAACAGGCTAGTGCGCTAAGCGTACCTCCCAATACGCCCCGTGTACTAGCTTAAGGACCAATTTTGCAAACTTTTTAATAAGAAGGGTTAAATATGAAATTTACCAAATTCAAGTGTTACATATACATACATAGATACACCAAATACATATATTTTCACATACATACACCAAATACACCAAAAAAAACATTTGATGATGAAAAAAATACACTATTTATACACACATATGCCAAATTCCACATAATACATACAAACACACATATTTTGCAATAAAATCTCGAAATTTAATGTAAAAAGAACCTGTGGTGGCCGGAATTTAAGAGATGGTGTAGTGGTTGGTGGTGGTCCTCGGTAGTCACACTATACCCCACAGTGACCAAGACAAAGAGACCAAAAAAAACTGAAATTGACAAGTATTTTGCAATTAATCACAAGATTGAGCTGGAAATTGATGTTATAAGAGAAAGAGAACGAGAAATCAGAAGTTGAATCTACCTTTTACTAGAGATTCACGATTTTCGTCGGAGTTCAAGCCCTTTTCGCCGGAGTAATTGAATCCCTTAACCCATTCAATCGTAATCTCACAATGGGGACTTCCCCTTAGACGTGAGACTTCTGCGTCGTTTTTTTTATCTGCGCAGACCTTTACCGACGACACTTAAGTCTTCGGCGGCGACAATCATCAATAGCGGCGACAATTTTGGAGGGAAGGTTGCCACGTTTTTTTTCATTCCACTTTTAGCGGCGACAATTTCGACCTTTAGCGGTAACAAATTGTTGCTGGTATTGACTTTGTGCGACAATGAACCCTAGTCGTTGGATTAGATCATCGATCGAACGATTGGGATTTACCGGAAAGTGTTAGTGCGGATTCGGCCTCAAGGCATTACCAACGACGTTATCAGCGGCGACACCTGCTTTTAGCGGCGACTCTAGCTAAAGTCGCCGTTAAAAGTTGGTGTTGCCGCTAATTACGTCGTCGGTAATGATCTTGTTTCTTATAGTGTATACCAACAAATATATAAAAGTAAACACGTAAAAATTAGTTTTTTAAAGTTAACCAACGAAAATTATTAAGGAAAAATTATATTATATATACTACGGGAGATAAACACAAGAGTATAGAAATTGAGTGATGAAAATATATATTAAAAAGTTCAAAATGCAAAGGTCAAAGTAAAATTTCAAAAAATAAAAAGGTTGAAATAGCACAAATTCATAAACATAAAATATAGAAAATGTTATATAAATGGTATGTAAGATTTATCTATCGTAACAAACTGAGTCTTTGCTACATGAAAAGACGAAAATATCTTCACAATAACAAACAAAAGTACAATGTTATTAAAAATGATCATTAATACAAGTTTTCGAAACCACATGGACCATATTTGTAAAAAAGCAATGATTGTAACATTCTAAAACTAAAAACTATATGGCCAATTTTATAATTTTTGTCTATGTAAAATAGAAAATAAATTATTTTATTCTACAAATGGAATAAAATATAGGCCAATTGTACCATAACCCGCTTTAAAAAAACTCCTAGTTTTGGGGAATGCGAAAAAAAAACTAATTATATAACAAATATTTAAATAATTTGTTTTCATGATAAACACTGAAACACACTCTTTCACGTTTATATATGATCAACCATTGTTGCCCTCTTTCCAATCCAAACACTTGGTTTCTCTCTCAAAACATACTTAGATTTCTCGAACCGATTAGCAAACGGTTCAAGGTCAAGAATCAAGATCGTGAGGACGCAAATCTATATGCACATTTGTGTATAAGGTACCCGGATTTTTTTTTAATAATCTTTGAGAGAATCTCGAAGTTTAATCGAATACAATCATTCTCGCGATTTCTTTTGAGTTTTTTTTTTTTTTTTTTTGAAGTAAGGCAGTTCAAAACAAAGAAGATTTTGTAAATCTTTTGAAGATCCTACCTAATATTTTATGGAAGAAAACTATTTTATTAAATATAATCGAAATTAATAGGTTGTTTGGAATCTTTGATTATTTCACTGTATGACTGTTTGTGAATATTACTTACTTGGATTCCATTAATATATTAGTATGTGAAACTAACTATATTTCTTTTAAAACCGTTTACACTTATCCACTACTATATCCACTACTTTACTACACATTTCTTTTTCAGTTGAACTTAAACCTCAACATTTGTTTGACAAGCAACTGTTCTTCAATTAGTTATATACCAATGATTATATCCGTTTAATCAAGCCCCTCATTAATTTTCTTATAATTATTCCCCTTTCCCGATAGAAAGACACATATATGTACAATGCTGTTTTCATGAAAACAAATTTCATTTAATTTTTTTAGTCACTAAATTTTTTTTTTTAAATGTAGTTGTAGTATGTGAATTATATATCATGGTATGAGCATTAAGGAGATCAGTTCAACTCATGCCTTGTTGAGAATCAAATATTATATTACATAATATTATATATTATATTAGGTTATTTAAATTGATAAAAAGTATCTATTTTTAGTAATAAAAATACATTGCCAACAGATAATGAAGTGACTTAAGTTTTTAATGTAGTTTCGCTATATTTCTTAAAATGTATATAGAAAAGACATCCAGGAATATATCAAAATAAATTATTTTAGGTAAATATAATGATTATAATCCTTTATTATAAAATATTTTAATGTTCTTCTTCATGCGACGCGTTTAATAAATAATTTAATTAGCCAATAAACACTGGAACATAACGTTGGGAGAATCTCGTGTTTTTATATATGTTAACATTTCATGAATCCATTGAGGATGACTGGTTTGCCAAGGTGTCTATTTTCACTTGTTTTAAAGAATCTTTGTTGGACACAGACACAACACACACGTATATTTATTATGTATATAATCTATATATACTGAAGTACAATGTCCGAAGTGTTCAGCTTCTTTTTCTAGCTACAACTTTAATTAAGGTAAATCTTTAATATTAATCCATGCATCTTTTCTTTGACTATATTCTTTTTTTTTTCCTCCTTTTTTTTCAGGTAGAGAAAGTTACATATCAAAAGGAAATATTTTGATGGGATTACTGGAATTATCAACGAACGAAAATGAATATCTTTCATGGCTGGTAATTTAAGCTCTTTCTTTTTGTCTATGTTTCATTTTGAAAACTGGATGTTAGATGAGCATGGTTTAAAAGATCGTATGGTTATATAGAACGCTTGAAGCTTGATTATTTAAATGTTTTAGGGTTTGTAAAAAAAGTTTGGTTTTTTTGTTTGATTTAATATGAACACAGAAGAAACATCCATCTGCATTGGAAACATTTGACGAAATAATTGTGAAAGCCAAAGGGGATAAAATTGTTGTGTTCTTCGATTATGATGGAACTCTCTCCAACATTGTACCAAATCCAGATGAAGCTTTTATGTCCAAGAAGGTCGGTAATTAAAATAAACGGGTTTACAAGTCATTCCACGAAATTATTAGATAATAAACGGGTTGACATGACATGTTAGAAAAGTCACACAAACGTATATATGCATATAAATGTATATGTTTATGCATATGCATATACACATATACACATTTAGATTATGTACACTAAAAATATAAAATCAAAACATGTATATAATTCAATCTAAAAAATCCAAGTTTTTTTTTTCAAAATATGGATATGTATATCTGAAAGAAAAAAAAAAGTTGGAGATTGTTTGGGACTCCTTTCCTACGGCACATAAGAATACTTTTGGTATATTATTATTATTTTTATCTAAAAATTTAAATAATATATAGAAAATGTAACGCAAAATAAAAAGAAAAAATATTTCTTTTGTATGGCCGTAGGAGTTAGGACCAACCAAACAATAAAATAAAACGATATGAACCGATCACATAATATTATCTATTTTCTATATATTTAAATAAACCAATTGCATAGAAATTTATAGAAAATAAAAAAGAGTCATATAAGAATTCTAATACTTATCTAACTGCTATTGACGCTTGCAGATGAAAACTGTTAGGTAAAATATGAAAGGTTGAAAACATGCGGCTTTCACATTTGAGTACTATTGTTACGACGACTCAACATTTGCGGCTTTCACATTTGAGTACTATTGTTACGACGACTCAACATTTGCGGCTTTCACATTTGAGTATTATTGTTACGACGACTCAACTTCATGTGCAAATTGCGGCTCTCTCACCTATATATATGCATGTATGTTTTGCATATTTTGTGTGCAAAAACTTGAGAGAACATCAAGTGTAGAGTGTCAAGCCAATTGTAATCTTGTGAGTTTTAATAAAATTCTCTAGTTGCAGCCCGTGGATGTAGGATTTGCACCGAATCCGAACCACGTAAAATCCTTGTGTTCTTCTTGCTTTATTTTCGTGAGTTTGTGTGTGTGTGATAGTGTGTTTCCGCTGCGTGTACCCGGTCCGGTTCCTAACAACTGGTATCAGAGCCAGATTAGCGAGGTTTGGAGGGTACGATCGTTTTTTTTTATCACGCACGAGTGTACCTGATTTGTATCTTGTTTGTCGTAATGGCTGAAGACAAGGTTGTAATCGAAAAGTTCAACGGTTCTGATTTTAGCTGGTGGAAAATGCAACTAGAAGCATTGCTATGTCAGAAAGACTTGGACGTGGTACTCGGAGACAAACCGGAGAAAATGGAAAAAGCTGCTGAAGATGCGTGAAACTCAAAGGACAAGAAAGCCAAGGCGGTTATTACATTGTCGTTGACGAAGAGCGTTACTTTCAACATCATGAATGAAACCACGACACGTGGTATGATGGAGGCTCTGTCAAATATGTATGAGAAACCATCGGTGGCTAACAAGGTGTTCTTGATGAAGGAGCTGTTCACTACAAGGATGAATGAGGAAGGCTCAGTTACGGTTCACATTAACAATCTAAATTCAATTCTGTCGAGATTATCATCTGTGGGAATTAAATTTGATAACGAGACTCAAGCATCACTGCTACTAGCTTCTCTACCTGATAGCTGGTCCGGAACAGTTACTGCTGTTACGAGTTCCGTGGGGACCAGTGGTATGACTTTTGAAGGGGTTAGAGATTTGGTTCTAGGCGAGGATATCAGACGCAAGAATCAAGGTGGATCTTCCTCTTCTGATTTATTAAATGTCGGAAGAGGTAGAGGGAATAGCAGGAATAGTGGAAGCAGTGGGAGTCGGGGAAAAAGTTCATCTAGAACTTTGAAGAATGTGAAATGCTGGAACTGCCAAGACGTGGGACATGTTAAGAGTCAATGTCCAAAGAAAGAATTGAACATTATAGGTGCTGAGAGTGTGTCTGAGGATGATGCATTGATACTCAGTATGGAAAGTTCTGTAGACTCTTGGGTCATGGATTCAGGGGCTTCGTTTCACGCCATGGACAACGGGGAAACGATGGTGAATCTAAAAGAAGGAGATTTTGGAAAGGTACGTTTGGCAAATGACGAGATGCTTCAGGTAACGGGCATGGGAGATATTGATTTGGTTACTTCATTGGGAACTACATGGAGCCTGAAGGATGTCAGGGTGATTCCGGAGCTGAAGAAGAAATTGATTTCTGTTGGTCAGCTGGATAAACAAGGACTGGAAGTAAGGTTTGGTGGTGGTAAATGGAGGGTGATCAATGATAATCTAGTGATTGCTCATGGTATGAAGTGTGGGTCATTGTATATGGTTGAGGTATCTGCTGAGGGAAGTATGACCGTCCCTGTTAAGCAAGACAAAATCTGGTTCGCTAAATCTACGGCTAAGAGAGTTCATTTTGCAAACATGAATTCTGAAGCCAAGGGGATGTTAGCTGAACGAGTCAGAAATTCTAAACCATTCAGGGGATTCTGTGACAGTGGGAGCACGGGGTGTGTTTCGGGTACAGTTACAAAGAGTCGTTGGGTTTTGAAGACTAAGACTGAAAAAGTCTCTCCTGTTGAAAGTTTGCAAAGTTGGGAGAGTGTTAGTGGTCTTCGGTGTATCTCTGGATCTGGTGGAGTGTCCAAACCGGTTGAGACAGAGGATGAGTCGGTGGTGGGATTAGCCACGACTGAGTTGGAGCTAGTGGGAGCTTCAACTGTCCCTTCTAGTACTTGAAGATGAGGGGCGGCTGCAATTAGAGAAATGGGACTAAGTTTAGCTTGTTCTTAGGAACTGGAGGCTTGGAAGACTTGGTTGTTTTAAGATTACTGGAGTTGGATGATAGAGACGGACCATGTTGTTCAAACTTTCAAGTGGGAGATTGTTAGGTAAAATATGAAAGGTTGAAAACATGCGGCTTTCACATTTGAGTACTATTGTTACGACGACTCAACATTTGCGGCTTTCACATTTGAGTACTATTGTTACGACGACTCAACATTTGCGGCTTTCACATTTGAGTACTATTGTTACGACGACTCAATTTCATGTGCAAATTGCGGCTCTCTCACCTATATATATGCATGTATGTTTTGCATATTTTGTGTGCAAAAACTTGAGAGAACATCAAGTGTAGAGTGTCAAGCCAATTGTAATCTTGTGAGTTTTAATAAAATTCTCTAGTTGCAGCCCGTGGATGTAGGATTTGCACCGAATCCGAACCACGTAAAATCCTTGTGTTCTTCTTGCTTTATTTTCGTGAGTTTGTATGTGTGTGATAGTGTGTTTCCGCTGCGTGTACCCGGTCCGGTTCCTAACAAAAACAGTAGTAGGTGAAGTCGCACGTTGTTTTCCGACTGCGATCATAAGTGGAAGAAGCCGCGACAAGGTATAACATTTTAACCCGACGCACATAAAACAAACTAAAAGACCGTATCAATTTTAAGAATGTAAAAACATTTAAATCTTATACGTATTTGAATTTCTCAATATTTTTTAGGTTTATGAATTTGTAAAATTAGATGACATATATTATGCTGGGAGTCATGGGCTTGACATAGCAGCTCCATTTCAGTGCATCAAGGTTGGAGATTCAAATTCCGATAATAAATGTGTTGACAAAAATGTAAGCTAGAATAATTTATTCATTTCAAGTCAATATATGTAATAAATATGCATAATGCATTCCGATAAATATGTTGTAACATCAATAATAATAAGCTTAAATTTTGTTTTTTGTTTATTGTTTTGTTTTTTCTTTAACTTTTAAAAACGGTAAAACAAAAACTACTCGTAACTGTCATCACCTAGGTATCAAGCGAGACTTGAACTCATAACCTCTATAATATTTTCACTAGTTCAAATCCCTTTTGATATAAGTTTAAATTGTGTAGGGTGATGAAGTTGTGCTTTTCCAACCAGCACAGAAATACCTGCCTTCAGTATACAATGTATTATTTATTAAATTTAAATAATCACATGTAATGCATATTTAAGTTTTTGTTCATTGAGGAAATGATGCGGCATCGTTTGTTTGATTTAGAAAAACAAAAAAGAAAAAAAAACCTTAAACTCAGTTTATTTATAATATAATTCAACTTATAATACTTTTAAATCGTTATATACTATATAGAACTGTATAAATGATATTTATATTAAAGTCTAGTTCACGAATTGTAGCAGACAAAAGAAAAAAAAGAGAAAAGAAAAAAAAAGGAAAATAAATTTGTTTTTTCTGTTCCTGAGTTGAAAAGAAATGGAAAGAAATTAAACATTTTGTTCTTTCTCTCCAAATCTTTCCAAATCGGAAGGAAAGTTAGGATAGAAAGTGATCATTCCATTTCCTTCCACTTTTTTTCATAAATTTCTCCAAATATTCCCTCATTTTCATCTATTTTCTTTTTTTTTTCTTTCGTTAAGTTGAACTCGGGAAGAGGGTATAATTGGTAAAAAATATATTGTATATATTGTGAAAGATTTATGAAAATACGTTGCATCTTTCTCTCATCAATGCAAAAATATAAAGTGATACTGACCTTTAATATTACATATAATATAAGGGTATATTTTTAAACCTATATATATATATATATATATATATATATATATATATATATATATATATATATATATATACTTGGGATCAAATAAGAAAATATGTAATTAAGAACACGATAACAAACCTGGGCAATATATTTCTTTTTGCTGCAAAACTATGCAACGTATCGGCACGACGGAGGAATATAATATTCATATGTGAACATAAAGGTAAGTATATTCTCACGTTTACCACCACCGCCACCGTAACCAACAATGCCACAGCCACTGCTACCCCTGTCTACAACCGCCATTTTCACATATGAATAATCAATCATTTGAGAATAAACATATATTTATTCATATATGAACATCATTATTTTCTACTATAATAAATGAAGATTTTTTTACCACATGTCACATTCTCATTCAATTTGTCAAATTTCATTTTTTGGTTATTTTGAATTAATTTTTTTCCACATGTCATTTTATAGGTTTTTATTATTTTATTAAATTCCATATACTATTTTAATAAAATAATTATAATAAATATAGTAGTAATAAATAGATATCAATTTCATTAACGGACTTGCATTCTAATTTCAAAATTTCAAAATTAAAACTTTTTAATTTCGTTTGTCTATTTATTTAAATTATTTGTTTAAATTTAAAATATAAAAAAAAAACCATTTAAATTTTAATAATTCATTATTTTTTTTCTTATAAATTTAAAGTTCTCAAATATTTAGAATTTTATATCTAACTTTTTTTTAAATTAACTCATTTAATCCATGGGTCTCACCACTAGTGTGTGTGTATATATAATAGTATATATATATATATATATATATATATATATATATACTTATTCATATATATATATAAATATCCGTTATCGTCACCAACATCTCTGCCACCCACCGATACAACCACCGTCATTGTCACCACTACCTCCGCCACCAACCCTCATATTCATATATGAATAATCATGCGTGAATAGACACAGACTTATTCATATACAAATATACTTATATATCCATATATGAATATTATATTTTTCTTCGTCCCGGTACGCTAGAGCGTTTAAGCGGTAGATTTGAAATATATGCTCTTATTTTTTTCTCGTGTTCTCGGTTTCATAATTGTTCTCATCTGAACCTTCATATATATATATATATATATATATATATATATAATATATATATATATATATATATATATATATATATATTTGCAGACACACGTGTTGCGCAAGAATAAAACTATATTGTTTAAAAATTACAATAAATATAGGTTATGAAAAATAACTAAAGTATTACCATTAAATATAAAATATAATCCTTATAAATATAAAAAGTTTATTTAAACATTTTTTTTATCTTATATTTTTTATTTTGTTTGCATCATGTTTATTTTAAACTCTCATAGCTCTTCAAATTCTAACTAAGATTATAATTAATGATTTTTAATGCTCTATAATAAGTGTAATATTTTATTAAATGAGTCTTTCAAGATGTATTATCGTCGTATTATTGTCCAATATGAAACATTGCAAAAACTATTAAGTTACTCTTATAATGTATAATAAAAATACAAATTAAAAGATTTTATAAATATTATAAGTTTACTCACAATGTGATGAGAAACCCTGAACCAACAAAACTTTTAATTTATTTAAATACTTTTTTATGTATGTTTTCTCTATGACTTTTTATATGATTTGTCTCTAAGTGTGATTACTCAAACAATTGATAATTTTATAGTAATAATTAATTCAACATAAAACGTTTTATAAAAATGATTAATTGATTATTAAATTAGTTATAATATATTTAATTCCCCATAATACATTATACCATTTTAATTTGAACATTTAATAATCATCCAACAATAATGAGAAAAGTTGAAGAGTTGTATAGATTTCAATCGTTATAAAACTTTAAAAATATTTAAATATAAATAGTTTTGGATACTTTTTAAATTATTTAATAGTTTGATTTAAGTTTAGTATTTTACATTGCGTATGTATTAATGAATTAAGTATATAATAATTCAGAAAAAGAGATAATTATCTACATTGATCCATATGATTTTATTTTTAAAATTATTATTTCAAGAGTTCATGAGTTTTTTTGTAAGTTTTTCTAAATGTTAATTTGACTATAAGTACTAAGATGTAATATTTTGCTACATAACCGTGCACAAAATTAATTTTGAAATTTTAACACACCAAAATGTATTAATAATATCTTATTTTGTAGTCACAAAAATCCCATAAATTATAAATATCAAAACTTGTACAGGGAGATGTTAATATAATAATTTGTCATTAATAATATCAAAATGCTCAAATAAAAATCTAAATCATCATCCAATTACATAAGTTTGTTATTGAAATACAAAATAGACATAAAACGTAACGAAATATAATAATAAGGAGACTATTATTTCATACTCATAAATCCATTGCGAAAGTTGTTTAATAAACTCACGTTTCACGTTTTATAATGCTTGTAGGAAAAATTTTAATCTATGCATCAAAATTAAAACTATAAAACTACTCTACTAATATATAAAAGCGTAAAATAAAAAGTGTTAACATTGTAACTTGCCTCAAAAAGTGGTCGACAAAACTTGAACCAACACAAAAACTTTTTTAGTGCTTCTTTCATTCTCTATATGCAGTTTTATGTGATTTGTGTGTGAATGTGTGAGCTTACTCAAACAATTAAGTTCTCTTATAGTAGTAAAAAAAATACTAACAATAAAATTGTAGTTATACCATATTAATTTGAATACTTAATAATCATATATCAAATTAGCAAGGAAATGTGAAGAGTTGTGTAGTCTTGAGATTCAACCTCAGCCACATATTTCTCATTTTCCGTTCTAACGCTAAAGTATACTGACCCGACAGAAGAGATGTAATCATAAATGATTATTCAGCGCGACTCGTTCCTTTTCCTCCCGAGACATTCCCCACCACCACAACTGCCACCGTCACCACCACTACCAACACCTCTACCACCAACCGAACTCACCACTGCCATTTCCGTCACCTATACCACCGCCACCTCTGCCACCAACATCTCCTCTGCCAACCACCATAATTATATATGATTACTCAATCTATGAAGATACATATATATAATCTTTCATGATTAAGCATATATGTATAAACATATATTATTATATAAGATTAAACTTCTCTATCATTTAATCATTTATGATTAGACATACTCCGCTGCTTCCCATACGTTGCAGTGTTAGAGTGTTATATCCACAAATGAGAAATATATATATATATATATATATATATATATATATATATATATATATATATATATATATATATATATATATATAGAGAGAGAGAGAGAGAGAGAGAGAGAGAGGTTCTTTTGAGAACCAAAAGATTTGTGAAAACTTGCGAACTCAAAATCAACTCATCATATTTCAAAACGAAAAGCATCAATCTTCTTCAAATGGTGCGTCTAAGCCATATCTAGACTCAAAACAAATTTTTGACCATTTTTTTTTGTTTTTTTTATTGTGGATTTATGCACAATCAATCGTCCATATGAGCACAATCAGCAGTCATAACTGTTGATTTTGCTGGAGTTTTGATTGTGCTCATCAGCAGTCCATATAACTGTTGATTGTGCATACATACAAATTTCCAAAATGAATAAAAAAATTGTCAAATCTTTTTTTGAGCCTAGATAGACTTTGACGTATTATTTAGTGAAGATTGAAAAATGATGAGCTGATTATAAGTCCGCAAGTTCACACGTTTTTTTTTAGTTCTCACAATAACTCATATTATATATATATATATATATATATATATATATATATATATATATATATATATATATATATATATATAATTGGCATGATTATAATTGTAAAATTATGTAGTTATTTTCGACATTAACTGTTTTGTAGATACTTGAAATTATGTGGTTATTGTCGACATTAACTTTTTTGTAGATACTTGATGCACTCAAAGAGGAAACCCGGAATATCAAAGGTGTCGTATTGGAGAATAATAAATTTTGTGTTACGGTACATTTTAGACATGTTTCTAATAAGGTATATTGCGTGTCTCATTAGAATATATAAATATTGTTTATTTGTGCTTCTAAAATAGATTTTTGAATTATAATTTATATTAGTAAAAACTAAAAAATTTTATTTAAAAAAATTTAGGATTTTTCGATGCTAGAAGAACTTGTCACATCTGTGGTAGACAACTTCAAAGAGTTCCGACTATCAAATGGCAAAAAGGTAAGAACTTCAAAGAGTTCTGACTATCCATATAAGGGGTCCCTTAGTTGTAAGACCATTCCTTCATATGGGTAGTGATATAGTTGCTAACTGTTCTTACGGATGCTGAATACTTGGTTTACATGTCATGTGAAACTTATAGATCACCTCCAACTTTTAACATTATATCTTACAAAAAAATGATAAAAAAAGTGTAGAGATAGTGTAAACTTAAACCATTTTCAATGTATTATTTAACATCAAAAAATTTAGGTATATTTCTATTTATAGTTTTATCATTCAAGTGATATCGTTATAACTTCTTACCAATTTAACTTATGTTCTTTTATCGCAACAAATTTATAAATTATGCTATTAAATATTTATAAAATAATAAATTATTTTCATATAATTAATTAATTTGTTAATTTAAATAAAAAAATCAAATATAAACTGTTATTATATATACAGAAAACTAAAGATGAATAAGTTGAAATTTAAAGTTTGAATTTGTACAAGTGAAACTTTAACACTATACATCGTTTTACAAAATAGTATAACACTATATTTGATATTACATTATTCACGAAAACCAAATTTAATATAAAATAAAGTGTTGCGTTGGAGCGCTTAACATTATGTTTGTTGTAAAATATATGTTTTAGTATTGGTTTGATGATCTCCTTATGAACGGGGTGGTGTAGTGATGTTGGGGTTAGGAATTAACTTTTTGGTGTGTCGAGACAAAACTTTGATATACCATTGATCTTTATGTTAAGAAAGCCTTAGTTCTTAAAAAAAACAGAAATAAAAATGATAGATCAAGTATCTTATCTGGTTGACTGACAATGAAACTTATTTGTAATCCATATCTTAGGTTTTTGAGATTCGACCTGATATCGAGTGGGATAAAGGACATGCATTAGAGTATTTACTTGAAACACTTAGATATGGAAGTTCAAATGATGTTTTTCCTATCTATATCGGCGATGATGGTACAGATGAAGATGCATTTAAGGTATTCTAATTTTCTTACTCAACCAATTACTTACTCAACCAACATTGTTCAAATCCATACTAATAAAGGCATTCTAATTTTCTTCCATAAAATGTTGATTTTTAATAATCACTATATAAAATATGATTGATAATTATAATATTTTAATACGTACATTTTAAATACATCTTATGTCATTTTTGTTTATAAGATGCATTTTGAATGTTTGTCGAACAAATTATATACATTGGTATATTCCCTTTTTAATTATCAAAATTGGTTTTATAGGCTATAAAGAATAGAGGAAAAGGGTATTCAATTGTTGTTTCATCAACCGAAAAGGATACCATGGCTTTCTATTCTCTTCGGAATCCTTGTGATGTCAAGAAATTTCTATCATGCCTTGTGAGCTGGAAGAAGGGATCCAATTAAATGAAATTTGTTTCTAGAAATTTAATTAAAATATCTAATGTTACACAATTAAACTCTCTAAAGTATAGAGATTAAAATGAGTTAATAAAGTTACTCAAATATTTACAACTGAATTACAAAATTAAAGTACATAGTAACAACATGAAGAAACACATCATGGTTTCTTTATTAGTTATATATGTAATGAATGGACAATGATCTAATGTATACACATAGATCAGTAAAAATATTTAGCATTTCAGAAGATAATAGGAGGAAATTGAGAAAACACGAAGATGAAATCGAAATTATATGTTCTTATGCTTCATTGCCATGTATTGTTCTATAACGATGCTAACAAACAAATTAAGATGATTTTTTGTTGTTATCTTTCGACCTTTTGTATGTAAACTTGGCGTTAATTCATTTACTCTTTCTCTTATCTACTTTAAGTAAACATGTATTTATACCCAAAAAAACAAACTTAAAAGTTGTTGTATTCGCTATAATCCTAATAACTAGTGGTATACCCATTCGATGCCTGGGTTGAATGATATATAAAAAGATGTATCAATTCAACTTTCTTTAATAGCATCTTACTTTCATGTGTTCCCACTATAGCATTCTACTATGGTAAACTTACCTAGTTATATCATTCATATAAAGTTGTTTATGTCTTAAGTGGTAAAAACGGGTCATTTGTTTGCCAGTATCCATACAAAACTCATGGGAGAGTCATGAATCAAGTCCTCTTGGTTGAAACATCATAAGTGTCTCCTTTCAATAAGTGGATTCCAATTCTAATTTAAACGAAATAGGAATTCACGATTCCGTCGGAATTAGAATCGACGATTTCGTTCCATTTTGGTTCCCAATTTGACAGAATTCGGTTTCCATATAAATTCATTTTTAGGTGGAAAGAATTAAATTCATTTCATTTCATTTTTTTAAAAGACCAAAATACAGCATATATATATATATATATATATATATATATATATATATATATATATATATATATATATATATATATATATATGGAAAATTGAATATATCTTTAAGGGTATATAAGATTAGGAACCCAATGCTTAAAACTATGTAGTTTTGATTAGTTGTTTAATTTTCAGAAAAAAAAAACAATTCTGTAAAACGGTATATTATAAATTGTTTCGGTTTCGTTTTCTTTTATTCCTCCATCGACGATGCTATTCAATTCACTATCCATTACTTTTGGCTTCAAATTCATGTATAAATATATTTTAATAACTTCATGATGTTAGTGATTGGAGAATTTTTTTTTGATTAAATGATTATATTCACACAGAAGCTTTCATTGTTAATAGTAAACGAAAATCCCAATTCAATCTAGAAAAAGTGATTAAATGAATATATCCACACCACTAGGATTCACGTTATCCTTTTGTATTTATGATTCACTAAATTAATAATATGAGAATAAAATAAACAAAAACTCTCATTCAATCAATTTTGTGTGTGTGGTTCCACCGACGAATAGCATCAAAAAAATAAGTGGATTGTGGAAGAGGATCGGTCTTGTTCATAAATTAGGCCGATTTATAGTGAATTGTGATTTCTATGAATCATTCCAAAATCAAGGATAAATTGTGTTAAACGTTATCAGTGAATGTGAATAAGGAAACGTAATAATTTTGTTTTAGGGAAATGTTTTTTTTTTCTCTAGAAAATGAAACCTCTAATCAAAACTACGTAGTTTTATGTATTGGGTTCTTAATCTTATATACCCTTAAGGGTATATTCACTTTTCCCATATATATATATATATATATATATATATATATATATATATATATATATATATATATATATATATATATATATATATATATATTCCTACCTGTTTTGTCACGTTACGAGATGTATGATATTTTTTACACCATTTACTAACCAACTAAGTGTAAAATTATCTAATCAATAAAAACCTAAGAATATGCTACCTCTCTTAGTGTGAAAATTAAACTTACATTATACAATGAAAAAAAAAAAGATTGATTTTACTTTATTCTATATCATTATTTTGTAATTTGTTCATATATTATCCTTATACAATGGCAAATCTACGCAATAAAACAACATGTGAATGAATAAAATAATAGCAACAGATTAAAATACAATAAAATAAAAAACATAACAATCGATTAAAACACAAATGTAATACCATTCAACGTTTTCTCAATTTCGAAATATATTTTTTTAACATAAAAAATTATATTTTATAAACAAATAAAGTTCTAAGTATATATGAAAAAAACACAAATAACAAAATTGCTGCAAATCAAAGGCTAAACGAACTCGACAAAAAAATTGTTTTTTTTTAAACGGACTGAAACATAGATTGGAGTGCATCTTTGTAATCTCAGCAGTGAGTGTGGCTCCAAGGGCAACTTAGGCATAAATCGTAGAATCCACACTGAAACCATCAATAAATGAATGAAACACATTCTTCAAATAAAACTTCCGAATCATTGACCTCAAATATACATTTTTGAAGACCATCACTTTCTTTATTATTAAAAACATCTTATGCATATTAAGACAAACCAACTTTAACACAGAGGAATACAATAGCTTGCTGCCAAAGGTAACTTAATTGAATAAACTTGGTTATGAATACTCTAACAAAGCAACAATTACATTTATATATGCTAAATAAAACAGTATCCTAGTCAAACTCTAAAACCGGAAGAAAAACTATTTAAATAAAAAAAAACTTCAGAAAATACCCCTGAGGCTCTTTATACTGAATTATACCAACATAATAATCTGTCTTTCTCTTCCTACAATATCATTTCTCGATTTTCATAGTACATGAAATCAATGAAGTAAAGATGTCTTCCATGTACTTTCAGGATTTCTATTCCTTTTTTATACTTAATCTGCACCAAATGAACCAACAGGGCAGTATCAATATGTATTAAAAATAAATTCAATGCCCAAAACATATACAAAATAACTTCCATTATGTAACACCTCAAGATTTTGTGGTAGGTTAAATTAAACCAAAGTGGTGTTTGATATGATGAAATAAAAAAGAAAACAAATAGAATGGTAAGTAGATTCCATAGAAAATAGAAAGTAACTTGTTTATTCTGGAAAATGGAATGGACCAATCCTAAATTCCTTTCGTTTTGCTAATTTTGTTTCCCTAGTCGAATGTGTTCTTTTTCATTCCATCTTAGGATGGAAAAAAATATTTAAAATACAACCCATATTTAATTATGCAAAATTTAATAACTTTGTTTTTTTCTAAATTAATTAAAATACGATTTTAGTTTTCTATAACAACGAAAATTATTTACTTTTATTAAAAGTTATCTGGAATTTAATGAGTGTTTTATTAAAAGAGTATTATTTAAAAAAAACAAAATTATATATGATTAATCCTTAATCAGGTTGGAAGAAGTATATAAATTCGGAACTTACTCACCTAACAAACAAAGTTATATGCCAAAAATAGAATTTAATATGATGTCTGCATGATACATACTTTTTGTGGCAGGTGTCTATAATGGGTGTGCTCTTTGGCTGCAACTAACTTAGACCAAATGCTACAGTTCGAATCCGGAAGCATTTTGAAGATATGTTGTACAAAAATATGAAAAGAACAACCATCAAACTTATGAAACGCATTAGTCCACATAGTGAAATTAGTAAATATTCTTATATGATCCAGCTTCTTGACCAATTAAGGGATCCTATTGCAATCTGCCAGGTTATTATATACATGTAGAGGGAGGGGGGGGGGGGGGGGGGGGGGTCTCCTACAATCTTATAATCATCATGTTGAACGAAAATTTATTTGTATCTACAATTTCTTAATAAAAAGAACCTTAAACTACTATGTTTTAATTGGGTGGATTTTGGAAATACAATGTCTTAGTAAGAAAAATATGATGTAATATAAGGAAATAGAAGTAGGATGCTATAATACACATCTAGATGAATTAATGGTTCTTTTTCATGCATTTATCCCTTACATGAAATAACTTATTATGTAAATTTGACATTGTAACGTCCCAAAAATTCATAGTAAAATTTTCATTTTCTAAAGCAATGAACCATACAAACGAGTTGTTCCAAAACGGATTAAGTGAATATATTATTTAAACGTCACAGTAAAGACCATAAGTTGCCAATGCGGAAAAACCCTGGGGGATGCTGTGCGGTCATGCCAGACCCTTTTCTTTCGTATCAGAAGTACCTGAAACCATAAACATAAAATCATAACCACAAAGGTTAGTGAGTTCCCCAAAATACTACATACATCATACATATACTTATAACAGCATGTGGTTGTGTCAGGTCCGTATCAACCCTATATGACAGCATGTAGCTGTGTCAGGTCCGTATCAACCCATGGATCCGTATCATCCCATATGACAACAAGTAGTTGTGTCGGTTCCGTATCAACCCCGACTCCATAATCACTTGATATAACAACACGTAGCTGCGTCGGGTCCATATCAACCCCATAAATATATAAAACATATAGTCATATCAACAAGAGTCACAAAGACAACAAGCACATACATGCATATCAACAAGTTTCACAAATACAACTATCATCCTACAATATAATTGTTGAGTTTATGGGTTGCGCCTTTGGGCTTAGATAGTTCGGTCCATTTGTATTCACGTTTTGAGGCTGTCCAACAGTGTGTTTGTTTTTAGGGTTTAGTGTTTATGGTGCATGCATGCATCACGTTTCTCACGCTTCTTGAATATTTTCCTTTGAGAAGTACTGTAACCCTAGCACGCCTCTAAAGTAGAAGTTCTTCAACGAGCTCTTCTGAGGTGTTGCTGTTTTAATCATTCGACATTTGTTTGATTCATTGTGGTGTTAATTGTTCTCTATTACTTGTTATTATCTCATTGATATCTGATTGAATCTATCGATCTAAGAAAATATTATTCTCATCAATTGGTATCAGAGCAAGAGGTTGTGTAAATCATACACATCTCTTCTGTTTGAAGAATTTTCT